TTCAAGATGAATAAAATACCTAGGAATAAACCTAACCAAAGAGGTGAAAGACCTGTACTCTGAAAACTATAAGACACTCATGAGAGAAATTAAAGAAGACACAAATAAATTCAAATATATCCCATGCTCATGGATAGGAAGAATTAATATTGTCAGAATGGCCATCCTGCCCAAAGCAATTTGCAGAATCAATGGAATCCCTATAAAAATATCAACAGCATTTTTCAATGAACTAGAACAAATAGCTCTAAAATTCATATGGAACCACAAAAAAAAACCCCGAATAGCCAAAGCAATCCTGAGTAAGAAGAACAAAGCTAGGGGAATTACACTATATTGTAATATATTGAACTTGAAGCTATATTACAAAGCTAGAGTAATCAAACCAATTTGGCACTGGCACAAGAAGATACCCATAGATCAATGGAACAGAATAGAGAGCCCAGATATAAATCCAAATATATTTGGTCAATTAATATAAAGTAAAGGAACCATGTATAAAATGGAAGCCATGAATATACAATGTAAAGACAGCCCCTTAAATTATTGGTGAATGAAACTGGATTACTGTCTAACTTGATACACAAAAGTAAACTCAAAATGAAACAAAGACTTGAATGTAAGACATGAAACCATAAAACTCTTAGAAGAAAACATAGGCAAAAATCTCCTGAACCTTAAGTATGAGCAATTTTTTCCTGGACAGTTCTCCTCAGGCTAGGGAAACAAAAGCAGAAGTGGACAAGTGGGACTACATCAAACTAAAAAGCTTCTGTACAGCAAAGGACATCATCAGCAGAGAAAAAAGGCAACCTATAGTATGGGAGAATATATTTGTAAATGATTTATCTGATAAGGGGTTAACATTCAAAATATATAAAGAACCCATATACCTCAACACCCAAACAACAAGTAAACAGATTAAAAATGGGGAGAGGACCTGAACAGACATTTCACCAAAGAAGAAATGCAGATGGCCAACAAGGCACATGAAAAGATTCTCCACATCATTAATCATCAGGGAAATGCAAATCAAAACCACAATGAAATATCACCTCACACCTGTAAATGGCCACTATCCAAAATGCAAGAGACAGCGAGTGTTGGCAAGGATGCAGAGAAATGGGGACCCTCCTACACTGTTGGTGGGAATGTAAATTATTTCAATTATTGTGGAAAGCAGTATGGAGGTTCCTCAGAAACTGAAAATAGAAATCCCATGTGACCCAGTAATTCCACTCCTAAGAATTTACCCAAAGAAAACAAGTTCTCAGATTCAAAAAGACATATGCACCCCTGTTTATTGCAACACTATTTACAATAGCCAAGAAATGGAAGCAACCTAAGTGTCCATCAGCAGATGAATGGATAAAGAAGATGTGGTACATATACACAATGGAATATTATTCAGTCATAAGAAGAAAACAAATCCTACCATTTGTAACATGGGTTGCAAATATCTAGAGGGTATTATTCTCAGTGAAATAAACCAGCCAGAGAAAGACAAATACCATATGATTTCACTTATTTGTGGAGTATAAAAACAAAGCAGAACAGATGAAACAAAATAGCAGTAGACTCATAGACACTGAGAAGTGACCGGTGGTTATCATGGTCTGGGGGCTTGGGGTGGTAGAGTAGGAAGTGTGTGGGAGATAAAGGGGCACAGAAATCCCCAGTCATTATATGAGTTGGTCATGGGGATGTAGTACAGCATGTGGAATATAGTCAATTATTCTGTAATATATTTCTATGTTGACAAACCAAAGGAGGTAAAGGGGGTAAAGATTTAATACGGGTAACTGTTGAACCACTGTGTTGTATATCTGAAACCAATATAAGATTGTATATCAATGATGCTTCAATGTAAAAAAAAGAATTTGCTACACCTTTGATTTGTAAAACAGGGAAGATGATCATACCTTCTCCACAGGGTTATTGAGAATATTAAATGAAACAGGCACATACATGTAGGAAGCACAAAAGGGAGCTCAAAGTAGTTTCTCAGCAGATTTTATTTGCCTCTTACATCCTCCTAACCCCATACTTGGGTAGAAATAAGTGTGAGCCCATAAATAAAAGCAGTCAAACAGCCAAGTTAGCTTTGCCAAGGAATGCCACCCTCTTTCCCCATTTTAAAATTACTTACAAAAGGGAGTATAAGAAAAATTGTATACACCAATAACACTTGTATTTTTATCTTGATCACACATCTTGCTTTATCAAACAGGTATTTACTTACATTGATTTCAACAATTAAGAATTAATTAGGGTTTATAGGGGCACATAAAATATATGCAAACATTTAGCACGCAAAAGAATTAGAGCAACAAAAATACACTTGTATAGAGTATGATGAACCTAGAATTTTGACTGATTTTTTTGTTTTGTTTTTACAGAGAAGTCATGGCCTTTTTAAAAAAGTGAATTAAAAATGGAAAACAAGGCATCTCCATGTATGGTAAGATCTTTTCCTACAAGAAGACCTTGCAAAAAGATTAATAGCAAAAGAGTGAGAATGGAGTTATACTTTTACATTTTATATAATGTCTTACAGATACATTATCTAATTAAGATTATTTAGACAGGGTTTCATATTCAAGAGTGACCATAAACATTCTCCGCATAGCATAATTAAACCCATGCAGATTATTGTTGATATCTGCTTCCTATAATAAAATTCCTCATAGAATATATGAGTAACCGATCAGAATTACTGTATATAGACCACAGTGTCGTATAAACCGAGGGAAAGCCATGATAGAGTTGTTCTTACATATTTTCCAAAACATCACATAGGTTGTAACTTTGGAATATAATTACAGAATTAATTTATGTAGCAGAATAATAAACAGGAATAATTTTTAAAAATGATACTGTGTTGAATCCATTTTGCTCTTAACTCTTTTGCTACATAAAAAGCAAGTGTCAGGAAATAAAATGGTGTGTATACATGTAGAAGAAAATCTGTAACTGAGTGAAAAAGTGGCATCTCTGCTTCCATACTAAATTTGTCTCCTTTGCTGTCTTAACCTTTGGGCCAAAAGGAAACAAAGGGAAAAGGGTTTCTGCTCAGCCCTGAAGCCCTGCAGACAGCCTTGTTGAAAATCAAAAGGAATTTTGCTCACAGTTTGAGATTTCTGCAAATAGCTCCTTAACCCTAACCTGGCCTCCTCCAGGAGATAGGGAACTATGTATGAAAATAATGATTGCCCTTGTCAAAGACGTGTAGGAGCACCATGACCAGACCTTGGTCAGCAAGGGTCAAACTAACCAAGAGCCTGGAGTTTCTCAGCCTTCTCAGGCCCTCACTGGCACCCAGATGTCTGCAATTGTCAGTCGCCCCCTAACCTGCTGCCCTTCCTGTTCCCCTTTTCACTAACATAAAAGACTCTTGCAATCAACCCTGACTTAAGATGGTAGTTAGTACATTAGTCCACTTTCTTTGTCTCCTGGCTTTCTAAATAGTCACTTTTCCTGTCTCAAAACCTTGTCTCTAGACTTATGGACATGTCATGAGGTGAGGGGCATGAACTTGGACACCCTAATGAATTCATCCCATACTGTTACCTTTATGTTTGACCTTGCACATAAAAATTAATTTCTTCCCATCAAGGAAGAAGTGTGCCCCACCCCCCTGAAAAAAACCGCCCAGTGATTGAAAATGAAATATGGAAGAGAAAAAACCCTTTGGGGCTAATGTTAGAAGACTTGTCCCTGGTAGATCTAGTCTAGGAATGAAGACATAGACTGATGGCTCATTGACAAGGAACCCAACTATTCTTTTAGAAGAAGAGTTTCACAGTAATGACATGAATTCTGGTATTTAGAAGACAAAAAAAAAAAAAGCGGGGGCTAAAATTTAACAAATAAGTTTAATGGTCAAATAGCTTGTTAAAACTTGCTTGATCTGTTGTGTTGAGAATGAGAATTTTATTTGGTTTAGATCTCACTAGCTATCTTTTGTAACTTTGAAATTAAGGTTACATTTTGTCTGAAATGTGAAGAAAAACCAGTAACCAAAGTTTATACAGAAAAAGGAATGTCAGTTTTGAACTTTAAAAAAAAAAAGTAAGGCTTTTTAGTCATACAGATGGTAAAGATGTAGGGATGAGGAAGAAAAAGTGTGACAGTAATCTTGCACTGAAAAAAGTTGATTTTTCCTTAAGCCAAATGTATTTTATTGCAAATATATTTAAGGTTTAAGAATTAATTGTTATTTTATACCCTTTCCACAATAAGCCAACACATAACTTCATAAGCCAGAAATGTTTTTAAAATAAAGATAATTAAAATTACACAAAGTTATAGAAGATTAAAAAAATACATGATAGCTATCTTGGTACATAGTAGTTTTAGTTGAACAGATGTTGCACTGATGCATAGAAACACATTTTATAGTTTCTGTAATAGTAACCTTTTACTTAATTCTTGTGCTGCTAATAATTCAATAGAAACAAAATATTAACATGTTGAATTCTTAACAGCATATTTTAGAAAGTGTTGATTGTGCCTATTAAATCACTACTCTGTTTACACACTGAAAACATTTCACATCTGCATAAATACATTCTTAGTGGACTAACCACTTGCATTAATTCTGTCATCATAGGTCTTCTTACTACATAGTATCTTCACATATACTGGCCTCAACATTACTAGTGTTTCAAAAAGGACAACTTCACTCTTCTTCGTGGCTTTCTGAGATCCATTTCTTAAATGCCAGGCAATATCTCAAAAGCCTATCAAATGCCAGCAAGTCAGCCTGAACGACGGCAGGATGCTGTTCAATGCTTGGGAGTCACAGGGTAGCTCTCCACACCAGGATAGCTCATTTTGTTGGGCAACTTCAACCCTGGTGTTCTTTACCATCTCTTGATTGTCACTGAAATTTTTACAGCATCAGTCCACAATGAAAAAAAAAATTAGCCAAATGCTAATTCAAGGGCATGGAAAGTCTAATGATTCAGAGTGATAGTAAGTGGTGACTTTTTCTAACAATTTGGTGTTTTTGTTCTTCCGTTTTTAAAGGTTACTTCCGTCAAACCCCAGAGAACCCACAGAAGGGGAAGCAGTAATTTAGCTACTTTGGGTGTACTGTATGAACATTAGGGCTTGATATAGATCCTTATAGAAAACTGCCTTTGCAAGCAAGCCCTTTCCGTTCTTGCTCAACTGTGAAACGTATATTCCTGGAGTCCATATCATCATCTTCATCCGGACTGTAAACTTCTGCACAATTGGATGGACGTTTTGGGGAATGGAGTTGTGACACGGCCGTTCACCTGCCTGCATTCGCGGCTTCTTCCTGATTACCATAGTTGTAGGGCCTGTCCTTTCTGCTGGGAATGCCACCCCGGGAAAAGCCTGAGTCGCCCAATGTCCCTCCTCCCACATACCTGCAGTGCCTCCTGGGCGCCGCATAGGTGACAACCTGCAGACGCTGGGCTAGTGCCTCCGCGTCTCCTCCCCGCCTCTCCAAGCGGGGACGCAGAGCACCCGGCAGCCACGTTTCCGCTCCCCCCTCATCCCCCCGGCCTGCCACAGCGGGTTCCCGCGCTCAGGGCTGAGCCGCCGCAGTGGCCTGGCCGTCAGCGTTCCTGCGCCACCTGCGCCGGGGCCCTCTCAAGCCCAGCCCAGCCCATCCCATCCCCCAGGTAGGACTCGGGAGGGAGGAGAGATGAAGCAAGCAGGCTTTGATGGCAGCAAGCCGCGGAGCAGTGGGGCAGGGTCCTGCCGCCGCGACGATGAACGCTTTTGGAGGAAAGGGCACGAGCTCCCCATTCCCGCCCGAGCCTAGCTGCCCTGCTGCCGAATGGGTCCACACTGGCCCTTCCCGGCGTTGGCTAGAAGCCAATCAGCTTCCTCGCTAGGAGTTTACTATCCAATGAGAACACTCAGAGTGCAGGATCTTTGCGCCCATTGGCCGCGGTTTCCTCCGAGTGAGGGGTCCGTCGCTGGAGGAAAACGTTTCCCCAGAAGTCGCCAAGTACAGGCGCGTGACAGCTCGGTCCGGGAAGGACTCTCCTCTTAGGTGAGTTACCCCTGTGGTCCTGGGGCTGATCGGGAGTTTTGTGGGGAAATTCACTGGAAGAAGCATGACTCAGGAAAACCTCAGACTCCGGGAGGGGGACAGAGGACCTTACACCTACCGTCGTTCTGAAAGGGGGCCCTAGGTCTGTTTCTGGAAACATAAAAAGAAACGTAAAGTTCCTTGCTGAGATTATGGAGGGCAATAACTTGGCAGAATTTTGTTGGTGTGTCGGGGGTGGGAGGGAAAGGTTGGGCCGTTTAGTGCACCAACCCTAAACTATTACCCAATGCTTATACCCTGCCCTAACCAATCCCCTATTTTAAAGACCGACCTTAAACCAGACCTCAAAATCTCACTAAACTGCCCAACCTTTCCCTCCCACCCCCGACACACCAACAAAATTCTGCCAAGTTATTGCCCTCCATAATCTCAGCAAGCAGTAATTTAGCTCTGTCTTATCGACGGGTTGTTATGGTGAATTTTCTGGGAGCCAGCGTTTGACATTCTTCGAGACCTGGTCACTTTCTGCTGCCGCGCAACCCAACACCCTTAAATCAGAGAATCACTGTTCCTCTGAGTCCCTTCAACCTCTGCATCGGGCGCTCTTGGAACGCAAAGGTGGGGAAAGTAGATCTTGCGTTTGGTTGAACCCCAGGTACTTTTGTTGAGCTCCCTACGAGCTGAGCTTATTTTACGCTGGGAGGGAAGAAGCCTTTTAAGGAATCTTTTTGATTATCTAATCAAAACTTGAAAAGGCCTCATGCTTGGTGACAATCTGCTTTATTGCAATATTACAATGCGTCTCTCTCCTTGTTTGTTGTACTTATGTTAAAGAAAAGTCCACAGGGAAGAGGCATAGGCTCCCGTTGTCTGTTTCTCAGAAAGCAGGCCGCGGCGACGGGGAAGTGCGGAAGGTCCCGTTTCAGGCCGGAGGGACTGTCTGAAACAACACATCATCAGGATTCACTACGGGGCCAGCCGCAGGCCCGCTTCCCCAGGTGTCCAAGGAAGTGAAGGACCTAGAGGGACGGCGTTGGGAGAATGGGTAGGAGGCCGAGGCTGGAAGAAGCCAGGCGGATGTGAAAATAAAAGTAACTCATTTACTGGGCCGGCTGAGCAGCGATGCGTCCAAGGCGGAAGGGCTTTTCAAACCGTGCCGCCGCAGCCGCAGCCCTTCCTGCGCGCCCGAGCTCGCGGCGCGCGTCCTCGCGCGGTCTCCGCGGGGCTCCGAGGCCTGCGCTGCCCCGGGGAGGACCGGCCTCGGTGCGCGCGGCGCCTGGACGGCCCGCGGGGCGGGCAGCCGGCTGGCTTTTACCGCAGTGGCTGCCCCTGGTCACGCTGTGTGCGGGCGGTGGCGCAGGCGACTTGCACGCGGCCTCGGTCCGCCGAGGGCGGATCGCTGCCGCTCAGCAGCCTTCTCCCGCGCCTGGCCAGCGGGCGAGGCCCAGAGAGGAGCGAGAAGGCGGAGAGGGAGGGGACAGGGCCGGGGGAGGATACCCGCGAGGTTTCTTAGCCTCTCTCCCTTCCCACTGTGACTGTTCAAGTTCATCCCAGTACCGTGCAAAATCCCCATTTCCCCTGCCCTTTTTATGTTCCCTTTTTGGTTCCCTGTGTAATAATCACCCCTTGAAGCGCTTGGGGTCCTCTCTCCGTAAGATGGATCATCATCCACAGACACACTTGAGGCCCCAGATTCCCTTAGTTGTTGGCATTAAGTTCTTACCTTCAAGGATCTTAAAGTACTGCCCACCTCCTAGTTATATGTATCTGTTTTTATTTCCCCAGGTTCTCTGCTGTTTAAAACGCATCCCTGCGGTAAGTATACAGACACTGAAAACGGTCATAGCAGTAATGTTTACTGGGCAACTGGCTGGGTCCCCGGCACTGTTATAAAGGCTTTGCATGCGTTGTATTTTTTAATCTTCTCAGCACTGGAGGCTGATTCTATCACTCCTCCCATCTTAGAAGTGTGCATAATGAGGCAAAGAGTACTTAATTAATATGCCCAAGGTCGTGCAGCTAGTCCATGGTAACCTGATATTTGAACCCAAGTGTTCTTATAAAAAGTAGCATTGATACAATACTTAAATATTCATGACCTCATTTGGAATCACTGCAGTCATTTTACAAACAGGAACGCTGAAGTGAGTTTCCTAAATAGCTCAGTCCCGGGAAGGATGAGGCCAGGGCTCCTGCTCCATAGCAGATGGTTAGGAAAATAGGCATAGTCTTTAGGTAACTTACACTTGACAAGAAATACAGAGGCTCGAGCATAACAACATGAAGAAGAAAAGCAACATGAAGAGACAACCCAGGGGGGAATCATTCTCTGAATTTCTTTGTGGTCTTCAATAAATCAATGTTTTTTTTCTAGAATAAAAGAGCCTTCAGACACAGAATAATTAAGAACAACTTGTGTGCCTCAATTGGATCTTGATTTAAATAAATTCACACTGTGATTAGGAAAAAGTCCTTGATTTTCAGAGATGAAAAGTGACAGTTGGGGTAAAATGTCATGATGTTTCTAACTGTAATCTAGTAAAATAAAAAAGATGATGCAAATTTGCAAAACAAATGAATAATTACTAACTCTCTGTGATACATATATGGAGGTGTATTTATACTTTTCTCTCTTTTCTTCTTTTTTCCTATTTGAAGAAGTTCCTAAGTCATCCCAATTATACTCCCTGGGGCTTTGTGACCTTTAGTAAATAGTTGAATCTCTTAGGATGTTCCAATTCTTTATCTGTAACATGGGACTAATAATACTTATTTCACAAAGTTGTTAGAAGTATATGAAGTAACTTACGAAAAGTATTTAGGACAGAGCATAGTGCCTCTTATGCATACTCCATTCATTGGATGTATCTTTATAAATGTATCTTTATTGAGGGCTGCCATGTGCCAGGCATTGTGTGAGATGCTGGTATACTGAAAGGCAGCTGCTGTCCTTCATGACCTTCATCCTAATGGGATTTATCACTACTGAGGATTTTATTTCCATTTCATTCTCTTCTGTGGAGACCTCAGAGGAAAGATAGAGGGGAAAATACTTCTTTAAGCAAAAAACCAAAGCCACAACTAAAATTCCTATCTTCCCAGGCATTCTAAGTTTATTTTGCTTTTATGATTCTTTTCCCATCTGTCTCTCTGTAATTTAACACCCCTGTGCCATCTCCATCTTAAATGGAGGCCAGATTTTAACATCACTGTAACTAGAACACTCTTAAATTCTCAGGCTGCAAACCCTTCTGAGGATATTATATACCTACCTATGAATTCCATCTCTGCCCCATAGCCCAGGCCTCTGGCACGTCACCTTCCTTCTCTGAGTGATATTTTCCTCAACCGCAAAATGCAAGTATACCTACTTTGCGTGGTATCTGGGGATTGGCAATTAGACATGATTTAGTTAAACTATTTAGTATGGTATCTGACATGCAGCGCTCTGTAAAAGGGAGCTTTTATTGCTGAGGTGATGATTGTTAGTGGATAAACTGTCTACTTGCTAAGTTAATATCTCTGGAGGGATTGAGGCAAGGGCCGAAGGGGAAAGGTGGGATATGGGGTCCCCATTAGTTGTATCCTCTGTACAGTTACTCATAGCTATGACGATAACTGCTCTAACTTGAACCTTTTTGAAATTAGTGTTTCAGCTGAACTGTCTATTCATCTTTAAGCCACCATGAGCTCTAAGAAGCGCAGGTCACAGAAGGTCTCATTTGAAGTAAAAAGTAATATGAAAATTGAGCACTATTTTTCTCAGGTATGTTGGAAATACTATTCATGAAATATATCAACATTAGTGTTAGCTATCCTTGACACTGGGTTTCATAGTTCTTCCTGCCAGCAATTAGCTCATTGTACGTTGGAAATATTAAGCTAAATCTTTCTCATCCATTTTATTCTTTCTATGTCAGGGGGTTGCTGTGGGAAAGGGCATTTTAATACAAATCTTGGCCACATCCAAGAGGCTTTTATTTAAATAAAAGCTATTGTAACGCTTCCGGAACAACAAAAATCAAATACAATGTATTGCAGCAAACTGAAGAATAAAAATAAACTATTTCCTAGTATGAAAATACCTACTATCCCAAATATGGCTGATCTATTTGATCGCAGTAAGAACCTACATTTTTACAGTGCTTTATAGTTTATAAAACAACTTTTAAAATAATTGCTCTCAGCATAGTCTTGTTAAGCAGGCAGGGAGGATTTTATTATCCTCCATTTGTTTATGAGGAGAGAAGCGAGCTGTTGCTTAAGGCAGAAGTGGAGTGAAGGTTTGGACTTAAGTTTACGAACATTAAGTCAGGGGTCTTTCTGTTATCTGGGCTGTTATCATCTCAAACCATCGTATCCTTTCCTGAGTCTCAAATGCTCCCAGAATTTATCAAGAGGGCTGAGAAATGGCAAGCATTTGAGAATGCAACAGCCAAACCTTTACCTTGTTTCCTTTTTTTCTGGTTCTAACTAGAATACCCCAGTATCTAGAAAGCCAAGACAAGCCTAGCTGTGTCCCTCTCTGTCCTACTCCATGACAGAGTGAACTAATAACCACGTATCACTCCCATTCCCCTTTTAAAAGTGTCTCTATCTGCTCAAGAGTCCTATGAAAAGTGGGAAACCTGTTACAGAGTTCTGGTGGGATGTGTGACAAAGATTTTTCTGACAGCATTAGGCTGAAGGGATGCTCTTTGACAGTTCGTATGTATGCCCAGAATATATTTATATTACCTTATGTTCCCTTTTTGTGATCCAGAATATTAGTACCATTATGAAGAAGGAAAATAAAAGTTAGCCTATTAATGTGCCAGTCACTGTGCTAGGCATTGTCACACATGAAGTTACACTTAATTTACACCCATCCTGTCATTGTTATTCCCACTACCTGCAATTGACATTGCTGGCAAATGAAGCCCTGTCTGTTGACACCTGTACCATGATGACTATGACCTGGGGAAACTGTCCTGGACATAGGAATCAGGTGCTCTTAAGCTGTCACTGAATTTCTGCTACTTGATTAGTCCTCCATACATAATTCCTCTCCTCTCCCATGGCCCCTGGTTTTTAAGATAATGCCCTATAAAAATGGGAATCACAGATATAACATTTTACAAAAAAAAAATAGGAATACACAGTCAAATGGGAAAAATATTTGGACTGAATGTTGCAGTTCTGACAGTCACTTCTGTCAGTGTTATTATATGACCCTAAGAAAAGCACTTACAAGGACAACTTTCTGTACCTCAGTTTCTCCCTCAAAAAGGAGAGATTGGCCTTATTTGTTCCTCTTCATTTCATAGAATTTGGGGATTAATGGCTATAATAGAGGAATAGATTTGAGTTCTTTGTATGATAGATGCTGGGTGAATCAAGGCTGTCATTATTAGAAATAACTATACTATCATGGCCAGATGATTAGTTAACTAGTGATGGTTTCATTTAACATTTAATGTCTGATCATAAGCTGTGGTGACATACTCTTGCTGAAGAATGGTAACTTATTTGGTGCTTTAAAAACATGTTTGGTGCAATGTATCACTTGTGTTTGGAAAAAGTAAAAATTATATAGCTGAAAATAGACACGATGTGAAATAACACTATGAGAGAGCTGGTAGACTTTTAGGCACCTCTACTTTTTTAGGCACCTGGAAAAAAAAGTTGTGTTTCTTTTCTCATATTTCTCAGGGGAAAAAAAAGTGCTAGTTTCATAGTATTAAGAGCTTATCTGAGTAATGGGACAGGAAACTCACCTTAATTTTGAATCCCAACGAAATTCTGATTTCCTTTTATTCATTGGCCTTTGGAGATTGGTTCTGAGTTTCCTATAGAAATTTTGTAAATTGCATCCCAAAAAGAGAAACAGAAGACTAAGGTTGCATTCAGAGTTTAAAGTGTTGAATGATTTTTAGGTCACTAAAAAGCAACAGAATGATTCCAGTGTTTCTCAGAAGAAGACAGACTCTAAAGAAGGTCTAACAGATGTAACTAACATCCAATCTCAAGGACCCAAAGACCAGACGGTGCCCCTGAATAAGACCATTTACATCACCTTGGATGTAAACCACAGGAAGCACGTGCTCACACATGGCGGAAGGGGCAGTTTATACGGGGCACTCAACACTCTCACGGCTATCAAGAAAGAGATGGAGACTCAGCAGGGCAAAGAAATGCTCGTGCGTGGCACGGAAGGAATTGAAGGTTACATAAACCTTGGAATGCCCCTCCGATGTTTTCCGGAAAGCTGCCACGTGCTAATCACATTTGCCCGAAATAAAAGTGAGCAGAGAGAAGGGAACCAGGCGTTTGGCCGGCATGACCTGGCCTCTACCGACTGTGTCAAATTTTACATTCATGCCATTGAGAAGAGGAAAAAAAGGATCGTGAAGCTCAGGCAGCTTCACCGGCAAGGCTGCAAACTGTGCATCTACGCTTTCAAAGGAGAAACCATCAAGGACGCTCTGTGCAAGGATGGCAGACTTCTTTCCTTTCTGGAGCGTGATGACTGGAAACTCATTAAAAACCTGGACTCCATTTTAGAGAACACACAGCCGGTCGATGACTTGGAGGGCAAGCTCTTTGAGGTGGAGGCTGAGAGAAGAATGAGCTCTAGGGCAGGAGCCGCTCGGGAGCCCCTGTCAGAGAAAAGGAACACCTGTGTGTTGAGAGAAGAAATTGTGGACCAGTACCCCAGTTTGAAAAGAGAAAGTGAAAAAATCAGAGAAAACTTCAAGAAAGAAATGGAGAAAAAAAAGAACAAAGCTTCGTTATTTAAACTGCAGAAAGCAAATTTCGGGAAACTGACAAAAAACTCTACTCTGGTTAAAGTCCACAAATTTCTTTCTCATCTCAGTGACTCAGTTGGGTGCATATCATGGGACAACAATGGGAATAAGGGTTCTGCCACCTGCTATGTTTTTACAGGGTTGTTCATTTTCACTTGTCGGCATGTAATAAATTACGTTGTGGGAGAAGGGATAGAGACAAGTAGGTGGGCAGACATGATTGGTCAATGTGTAAAGGTGACATTCAGTTACGAAGATCTCCCCGAAAAAGAGGAGAACTGTTTTTTTCTTGAACCTTGGTTTGAGATATCTGGTGTAACTCTTGATTACGCTGTTCTGAAACTGAAGGAAAATGGACAGCGGGTACCTTTGGGACTATATAATGGGATTGCTCCTACACCACTTACGGGGTTGGTTTATATTATTGGCCACCCATATGGAGAACCAAAGTCTACTGACGCTTGTGCTGTGATCTCTCTGGGTCAGCGAGAAAAGAAATTTCAGGAACATCTTCAGGCTAGAGAAGAGGAGGGTTGCAATTTTGGTCAGCAGTATATCCATATGCACACTCAAAGAAGTTTCCAAGAAGTGATGCACAACCCTGATGTGATTACCTATGACACCACTTTTTACTTTGGGGCTTCTGGCTCCCCGGTGTTTGATTCAAAAGGTTCATTGGTGGCCATGCATACTGCTGGCTTCCCTTATCTGTACCAAAACGGGATTTCTAGTATCATTGAGTTTGGTTCCACTATGGAATCCATCCTCTTTGATATTAAGCAAAACTATGGAACTTGGTATACGGAAGTATGTATAAATCAGCAGGATGCAGAACTGCTGAGTGAGGAGGATTGAGGATGGTGAGAGTTCAGTCTAATTGCTGGCATTTAGGGAATTTCCTATGGAGTTGCTATTCTATAGACGAATAGAGTTTTTAAATCTAAAATGATGAATTTCATTTAAAAATAACAATTACTATTATTGACTACATCCTATGCACCAAACTTTTTTCCTAAGCACGTGAAGACGGAAGTCTTAGCATCTTTATGAAGTGGGCTATTATTCCACTAAAGTCAAGCAATGTGAATAGTGATAAGATTAAGTAATAATTAGTCATATGGCAGTTAAAGGCTAACTATTGGTTTTTATCATCTTGAGTATCTTCCCCTAAGTTAGTTTTTTGAGGGTAGGGCCCACGACTTGCCATTACCCCTAATGTCTGGCAGGTGGAAAGTAAGTGTTTAGACAATGTGTGGGTTAATCAATAGCACAATTTAGGTATGCAGTTAATCTTAACTGAGGAGCTAAAGGCTTGATTGGAAATGATCTCAAACAAAGCTTTCAGAATTTCCCAAATCCTCATATTACTAAAAACTCAGGATATATGCATCCTGAAACTCAGAGGGTAATATCCACTCTCCCCACATTTAAAAGCTATTAGGGCAAATGGGATACCTTAAAAATCACATTACTTTATTCATATTTCCTTAGTTTTTACCCAATATCCTTTCTGCGATCGGAGTTCCACCCAACGTCCCACGTGACATTTAGTTGTCACATCCCGTCAGGCTTCTGTTGGCTGTGACAGTTTCTCGGCTTTTCTTGTTTTGGATGCCCTTGGTGGTCAGAGAGCACACACATCAGGTACTTCGTAGGGTGCCCTTCTCCTGGAACGTGTCTGATATTTTTCTCATGATTAGACTGGGGCTGTGGGTTTTGAAGGGAAAAACCAAAGAGGCAAAACCCCATTCTTACCATACCACCCCAGGGATACATTCTGTCAACATGATTTGGGTTGTCCTGGGTCCCTGAGCCAAAGTGGGGCTTATCAGGTTTCTCTACTGTGCAGTTAACCTTTCCCCTCTTCTATGTACTTTTTGGAAGGAAGTCATTCGAAGTTCACACTTACAGGGTGGAGAGTTATGGCTTCTCTTCCTCATTAGGCCTCTTAGAATATCTGCACAACTTATTCTCAGTCATTCTTCTGGGAGATTTGTCTCTTCTCTCCCATTCATGTGTATTGGTGTGGACTCATAAATATACTTTGGTTATAAACCAGTACTACTTTACTGAGATGCTCAAACTGTTCCAGCTTTGGTCTGCGGGAGCACTTTCAGAGGCCCCTGTGACATACCTGCATCAGTGTGTTATTGTTGTTTCTTTGGTTTTTGAGCACTTCCTTAGTTCTGACACTACAGGATACCACAGACTTTTGGGGTATATTTCCTGCCTCACTTCTAAAATTAGCCATTTCTCCAGGAAGCTTTGGTTCCTTCTAAAGGAGAATAGTATTGGTTACCAAGATCCGGACCCTAGGTATGCTTGTTGCTATTGGGGTATTTCTTCTAGGCCTTCTCAGCTGACAGAGCAAAGAAATACATGTGTGTATCTAACTCATGTACAGTAGTCCCCCCTTATCTGAAGTTCAGCTTTTTGTGGTTCCCACGACCCATGCTAGGGTGAGCCTCATCTGTCCTATGACCAGAAGGTCAATCATAGCCCAAATCACAATGCCTCCATCATTCACGTTGCTTCACCTTATCTCATAGTCATTTTATCATCTCATGTCATCACAAGAAGGATGATGACAGAACAGTAAGGTGTTTCAAGAACAAGAGAAAGAGGTAGACCATATTCACATCACTTTTACTGCAATATATTGTTATAATTGTTTTTATTTTATTGTTAATCTCTTACTGTGCCTAATTTATAAATGACACTTTATCATAGGTATGTATGCATAGGAAAAAACATAGTGTATACATCTTCAGCACTATCTTGTGGTTTTAGGCATCCACTGGGGATCTTGGAATGCGTCTCCCACAGATAGGGGGGCATTATGTATATACACATACCTATGAACATTTGTATCTGTAACCATCTGTATGTGTGATAAATGAAACCATTCTTACAGGTGTCCCAGCTTTAGTCCATCACCACACATGGATCATCCAGGCCAACTGTGAGAATTCGCTCCTACCATCCACCACGTATTTACTTAATTGTTTAGTTCCAGTATACATATATGTACAGCAGTATCATAATTGTTCACTTGTACTGGGATGGGAAATAACTTTATCAACTAGAGCTCAGTGTTTCTGTGCAGTTTCCTTTGCCTCTAATCTTAGGAACTCATTCCCAGAGCTACCCGGGTCAGTGCTTTTTCCCTCCCCACCTTCAGTAAGTTTGTTTCATACATTTGTCATATGTCTCTTCTCAGCTCCCATTCTTTCCTTTGATCCCTCAGTCTCCTAGGTGATTTTTTTTTAAATGTGCATACACTAAGCTTCTCTCCTCATGCTGTACATTCTGTGGATCTTAACAAATGCCTAATATCATATATACACCATTACAATATGTACAGAATTGTTTTTCCACCTTAAGATTCCCCTGTGCTTCACCTACTTATCCCTCCCCCTCCCCTGAACCCCTAGTGACCACTGAACTTTTTAACTGTTTTTATAGTTCTGCTTTTTCCAGAAGGTCACATAGGTGGAGTTATGTAGTATGTAGCCTTTTCCAATTGACTTCTTTCACTTTAAAGTACACAGTTCACATTCCTCTGTGTCTTTTTGTGGCTTGATAGCTCATTAGTTTTTATCACTGCGTAATAGTCCATTGTGTTGATATACCACAGCTTGTTTATACATTCACCTCCTGAGATATCTTAATTGATTCCATTTTTGGTGATTGTGAATAAAGCTGCTATAAACATTGGCATAAGGATTTTTGTGTGAACATTATTTTCAACTCAATTAGATAAATTCCCAAGAGTGTGATTACTGGACTGTATGGTTAAATGATGTTTTACTTTGTAAGAATCTGCCAAACTGTCTTCCAGTGTAGCTGAGCTGTTTTGCATTCCCACCAAAGATGAATGAGAGTCTTTTGGACTTTAATCATCCTACTATTGTTGAAATGTCTGCTATTCATTGGGGGAGTTTGGGGTTTATTCATGAAACTGGAGCTGTCTTGGATGTCTAGGGTATGTACATATAGCATCAGTCTATATTCTGTCAAGAGAATAAAGATGCTATAAATATTGTAAGAATGAGGTGCTTACTTAGGAATTGGGGTTATGTGAGTGTGGGACAAGCAGGGAAAGAGATGTGTAAGACTGCTGCTAGAGGATGTCAGCTGAAAGCATTGAAAGGGAGAGAGAGGTTGCCATATCTCATCACCATGATGGTGAACTAGTAACTTACAAAGGGTTTGTAAAGGTTCTGCATCAGGCACAACCTACACGTGGAAGCTTGTAGAGATACTACAAAGCCCTGTCTGACTGCCATGATCTTCCAATAATGACTACCTCTTCGTTTCCACCTTCTAAGTTTCTTATGATTTTTTCTCATTGGCAAATGCTAACTCAGAACACAGGGATTCTGGGAAAAATAGTTCTCAGCTTTATAAGGGAAGTAAGGACCAGCACACACATGCATATAGTACAACACTTTATATAATCAAATTATCACTGATAGCTAGATTATAATGCAGTACTTATCATAAAGTGTATGTTTCAACTTTGATTACATAATTGCAAGTCATCTGCATATTCACTGTCCTGCGAGTTATGCTATAAGCGAATCCTATCACCACGTGTTTTTGTTTTGCTGAAGTATTCTGCCATGTTTAATATCTGATGCCATCACAGAGAATTATCAAGTTAAAAGCTAACATTGGGCACAGATAGAAACAAAACAAAACAAAACAAAACAGTTCCTTTCTGTTCCCTTTCAGTCATTCACACAGCCTACCTTCTTTCTGTCTCTGCTCATTTTCCACATGGGAATTCCAGGTGAACTCAAAGAAAGCTTTAAACATGGCCTTGAAACATGTTTTCTCATTTCTGCCTTTGTTTCTTTTCCAAAACATTCATTTCCTTATTTCATCCCTTCCCATCTTCCACATTGAAACACAAATTCTTGTGTTTTTTTTTTTGTCACACTCCCTGCCTGTTAACAGCCTCTGAGGGCAGCCAGGAAGAATTTTGAATTTCAAATGTTGAAAATCAGCTTCCCTGGCATGTTTTCTCAGTCTGCCTTGGGAAAATTACCTAAAATCCCTGAGCCCTGATTTTTGTCTATCATTTTGAAAAAATGACATAGCCTGTTTATGGGTTAATCACTGTCCTAAGCACTTTATGTGTGTTAGTGCTAATTCTCAGGTCAGGCCTCTGAGGTAGGTCCTTTCATTATCCCCATTTTACTGAAGAGGAAACCAGCACAAAGCATTAAGGAACTTGGCCAGCCTTGGCCAGCTCTGGAGAACCGCAGTATGGACCCAAGACAGTCTAGCACAGCGTCCATGTTCCTAATGCCTCCACACTGTCTGCTAAAGGGTAAGGTGGAAATAATAGTGATTCTCAGGAAGGTTAAATGAGGCACCCCACTTCCTTACCCCTTGTCCTTCAAACTCTCCAAGTGGTGACCTTCTGAATTATCATGAGTTAGATTAGGAGATTCCTTTTAAGGTCTGAGGAAGAACAGATCTAATACTTTGTTTAGAGTTCTGTGTGGCTGGGAGAGAAAAAGTGAGGAAGGAAAATGGGATGGGAAATATGAAGATGAGAGAAAGGACAGTTGCTCTTTCGAATGTCTGACCTCTGATCAAACTTGTTGGCCTTTTGTCAACTTTTCTACAGGCCCTCTTCTTCACTTCTTAATTTACATACAGTAAAATGCACTCTTTGAATTTTGTTGTACAGCCCTCTGAGTGTTAACACAGGCAAAGCCTCTTGTCACCGCTACCACTAAGCGAATACAGAACAACACTCCAGAGAAGACCCCTGTGTTCCCCCCTGTGCTCTGGCCCTTGCCCCCGACTAGTCCCTGGCAACCTCTTGTCTGCTGTTCTATAAGGTCATTCTATTCTTAACCTCTGATGACATCTTGATTTTCCTTCCACCTGTCAAACCATCCCTGTGCCTCTTTCTCCTCACACTATGCAAATGCTCCCTCAGAATCCCATCGTCAGCCCTTCTTGCTCATTCTCCCCTTGGCCACCACATTTCTTTCCATTCTCTTTCATCTCTTTTATAAATAATATTGTTATTGATCTCTTTTATCAATAATATTGTCATCAATAATATTGATATTTTGTCAATATTATTGTGGTAGCTGACATGCATGCAATGCTTAATATTTAGGACTATGCTAAAACTGTTAACACTCTTATCACATTTAAACTTTGTCACTTCCTTAGGAGGTAGATACTGTCATTGTCTCAATTTTACAGATGAGGAAATAAGGTATCTACAGTGGAAGGTCATCCTGAGCAGTGCAACGGGTTTTGGACCACAGGTGTCTTGCTCCGGAACCTGAGACAGAGCCACAGAGCTCACTCCAGAACCACGTGGAGCCCAGAAATCCATTCCAGATCACCAGAGGCACTAAGCCCCGTTCTGTCCTCTGGCTTCTAAAGCCAGTCTCTTACAAATGCGAATGACCCAAAATTCATGTAGGATATCACACATAATCTAATGGGAAAGTAATAAAGCATTTGTTTGATTCTTATTTCATTCATTGATAATGAATGATTTCAAGGTGGTTATTTCTCTCTGCCTAAGTTTCCCCTTCATTTATTACAAAACAAAAAAAGTGCTGGGTAAATCCAAGTTGTTTAGTATTAGCAGTAACATGATATGCTCAGGTGATGAACTAATTTTTCAAACTTTTTGGAAAAGAAAGGACAAGATTCCTGTGGGATGGCTCAGGGATTTGAGAAGATCGTCTGGAATCTGGTAGGAAATGTTCTCACCCAGTGACCTGGGTGGAGGGGTGGGATTGATGGCCCCCCTCTGATCTACCTGTTAATGACTCTGAGTGGCTGGACTTGGGATTGAAATAAGCCCCCTAAATGGTTCCTCGGCTGTTAATTATGTTATTCACTCTCTTCTGGGCAGGAGCAGGAAGAGATGTGATGATAATGGAGCAACAGTAGCAACCTTGCATTTGATGGCAGTGGCTACTGATTAGCTTTGGGTGAACCCAAACCACCACCAGCTACTCAAAACAGAAAATAAAAGCATGTGGTCACTCACACCTTCCTCCTACCCCTGATCTCTCCCTTCCCCTCTACCAAAAGTTCAGCTGCTTTTGGAGAAAGATAGAGATGGAGCTGAGAGCTCCCTGTCCCCAGGACGGACCAAAGGCCACATACACTTGTGTGAATATGGGAGGGGAGGGCTCAAACTCATGGCCCTCTTGAATTCAGGTGCCCAACTCACCTGTCCCTATGCTGTCCCATGGGAAGAAGAGGTTCTGGCACCCACTTGAGTGGTTGAAGGCACCAAGGATTGAGGGATGGAGCTGGTGGTGGTAGTGGTGGTGGGGGACACAGATTGGGTCCCTGGGCTTGACTGCTCTGCAGACACCAGCAGGTACAGGGCAGGGAGCTCACACTGGTTCTTCAGGGCTGACCCCGGAGCAACAGGACAAAGGAAGGAACAAGACTGACTATTAAGTTTTATTTCCTCCTCAGTCTTCCCTTCCCCTCCTGGATTCAATGTCCTTCATTGTAGAACTGATGGCTGTACGCATTCAGTCCCCATCTCATAAGGGCCAGAGGGATTCTCCTGTTCAGGAGCTGCTTCATGTGAATCAGGTAGATTGTCCCCAAACCATTTCCCTGTGTCCTCTGGATATTCCAGCAAAAATATGGAATCCCAAAAGAAAGGGAAATACCATCTTGGGTAAAGACTGAAAGGTGACCTGAGCACTGAGGCCATTTCCTGGTACCACATTGCCACCTGCTGGATGTAGGCGCCGGTGCACCCCTTCTAAACAAAAGCAGCCATTAACCTGTTAAACCTTTGTCGAAACTGAGGGCTGGACCCAAGGTCTCCTCCAGCTGGCATCCGCTTTTCTGGGTGGTTCAGCTCAGACTCATTATCCAACAATAGAAGGATCCAAAAGATCTTGGTATGTATATTCAGGAGCTCAGCCAACCCGGCCTTGACATCAACTTGGATTTGATAAGAAAAAGTGGTAGTTGCCTTTTATGGGGGAAACTTTAACCCCTACATCATCACCTGGATTTTGTTGCTTTCCTTCAGGGCGAGGTCACCTTATCTTCTAATAGACAGAGTGAAATCAGATCATCTTAATTCAGTCAAGGACTGAATTTGAAACTGAGTTGCAGAATGTTAATGCTCTGTCTACCTCTGGCCTTCTCCACTTCTAGAGTTTAGCCCTCTAGGGGCCTCAACCAAGAGCTTGGGATATTTACTAGTGTCCCAAACCTTATCAAATCCTGAAGCCCACTTTTTATCTCATCAGCACCATGAGTCTTTAGGTAATTCCACCTCACTTTTCACTGACTTACCCAGGTTGGATGGGATGTGAACATTAGCACAATCCTTATAAATCTAAAGAATATATGAATATATTTCATGTATTCTTTGTCATCTATGCACTTATCAGTCTGTTCCCTGTGGAAACCTAGTAAGTCCTGACAGCTGACTGCCACAAACCAAGTGGTAAGGCCAGCTACAGTCACTGGCCAGATGTGGCATCTTTGCTAGAGCAAATTAACACTACCTCAGGTATGGGGTGTGTGGCCACTGATTGAATGAATGTGTTCTTTTTGTCACCATCAGAAAAGAGGATCATAAGCAGTTCAACTCACATGGAATAAACAATAGCATATATGTTTTTGGTTGTCCCAAGATTGTAGTAACACTTTTTTTTTTTAAATATCTGGAAGGATCTTTATTTATTTAT